ATATAATGGAAAGTAATAATCAATTTACAAATTGATTTTGTACGTTCAAAACGAAACAGTGTAAATTAGAGAAGAAGAGTAATTAAAGATATTGCTATATCTATTGCATGGTAAATTTTATAAAGAATTTGTTTAAAGTTTCTTAATTTAATTTGAATTGCAAGGATATAGTTTTCTAATATTAATAATATTATTGTCACATTGTCATACGTATGTATGACGATATTTCTGACTACCATTGAACATAACATAGTAGTAAAGAAAAATCTATAAAGATAATAATATAGATTCGGTTATAAATGAATTCATTTATTGAAACCTCTCTCTCTCTCCCTCTCTCTCAGATTGACTATTTCTTCTTATACGTATATTAAATGGAACTTCTAAAGTAATACAAACAATTATATTATGTTGTTTCTTGTTTAAGGAACTATACAAAAATTATTATTATTTAAAATATACTTACATATGTGTTTACTTATTAAATTATACCATTCGTTATAAGTTCTCTTTATTTCTATTCGTTCTTAACTACCATTTCGGAATAACTTAGATGTAAACAATAAAAATGGTACATTTCCGACTAAAAATAGTATACTAACTCCTATATGATAACTGAATTTCCATATGTTATAAATAATTTTTAAGATAAATATTTTGGTTTACTATAAATATTATATTATTATTCAAGTTACAAATTAGCTATAATTTGTAAGCAACGTTCACTGCTTAATAAATTATAAAAATCGCGAAAATAAATAAAAACTGTAAACAATTTAATAAATAACGAAATGGTTTCATTCTATTTACGAGTAATATATACTAGTATTACTATATAGTGTAGTATACTATATTATATAGTATATAGTATAGTAATATATAGTCGTATAGTAATATATAATAAATTTTATTTTAACTCTAAATAAATAGTTTTAAATATAGAAAATATAGATAGTTAAGTAAACTGTTATATTACTATAATGTAACAATAAATGTACTTTAATAAATAAATATTCTTATAAATTATAAAATATTCAATTAACACAGAATATATATGTAGTAAATAAACTATATAGATAATAATTTATAATAATAATTTTTACAAATTATATTAAATATAGTCTAAGCACTAACTTAAAATCTTATAAGTAAGCAATTTTTGTTATATTAAGAAAGTTATCAATACAAGTACGATTAGTCGTACTCGCCATCAATTCTTATAACACAAATACATGTAACATATCAAACTTGGTGTCTTCTTTGTTTACACATGCCGAAAGATTAAAAATTAAGGATTAGCCAACCCATTCTTTCATAACTTTTAATTAGCAACTTGTTCACTTCTATATAATCAATATTCACGTACTACCATTTACTATACAATGCACATGCATCCATTTAATACACCCATACATACGTACATATTCTACTCAGCCAAATCTTAGCATCTTCTTCTTAGACAAATATATAAAATGCATATATAAACATAATATATACAATACAAATTATAATAATAAATACATACAAAATACAATACAAATTATAATAATAAATACATACAAAATACAATACATACAACCAGGTTAAAATAAAAATTTGACATACTTTTGATATTTTATGAAAAAAAAATAATTTTAAATTTGATTAAATAAAATTAAATTGAAAAAAATTAATTTATTAAACAATCTAAAAATTAAATAAAATCATTTAATTAAAATGTCTTTTTAAAAATAATTAAAAATCAATGTATACAACATTGGTAATTTATACATTTAATCTGAATACATTTTTGTAACCTGTAATAATGTGACACTATGACAAACTATTAAAATTTTAATATAATCTTTGGTTCCATTTCTGATTTCCTTATTTCTCATTTCTCACAAAAACAATGCATCATCTTTCGCTTACTTTCTTCAACCTAATTATATTAGTTAACAAACTAGATTTGCTTTCTTAACTTTTTATTTGATTGCGTTTTTTGAAAAAATTATAAATTTTTATACCTTTCTATATTTAATTATATTATATTACTTGATATATTAAATATTATGTTTGTCAAGTATATAATTTCATTCCTAAATAATTTCGGTTAGCTTCGTAGTTCTTTAATTTTGTTATTTATTGACGATTTAAAAATACCACTGAAAGCTAAATTATTGTTCATGTTGCATCTATTACATAAACTATAGTAAACTTTACTTGTTACGGATTTAAAAGTTGTAAGTCGAAAGTGGGAGAGGTAATTAAAAAGTTGAAAGTCGAAAGTGGGAAAGGTATGAACGCGCAATTCAGTTATTTAAACAAAACAACAGCAACGAACGTTCCAGGCTATGGCCTGTTGACGTCACGACCAATATCGTCATGGCAACAAACACCGACGTTAAGGAATAGTGCGACATATTTAAGGGCTGTGCTTCATGCGCAGCGATTCGGTCTTGCCTCTGTCTAGTAACAATTACACCACAGTCATTATAACAAACACACACATTCATCTTCAAGCTTTTTTCTACAGTTATCACTCACTGTAGCGGTATACATACGTAATAATCAATCAAATAAATAATCTAAGAAAGAGATAGTGACGCTATATTCTAAAATTTATTAAACTAAACTCAAATTAATAACGCATTAGTGCTAAGATAAAACAACAGTGAAATCATAAAATTCATATTATATATGCTCACGGATTAAACCGATGCATACTACGAAGCAGCTCGCGGATTAGACCGACGCATACAAGCGGCGCCACCAACGTCGGCGTTTTTAATTTAACGTATTTAAGATAGCACCTACTCATTATACAACGAAAACGATATACACTCATCAAACTTGCCAAAAAAAAATAAACTTCATATATTTAATAAAAAGAAAAGACAATAAACACTACAAGTAGTCTTGAATAATTGCATTGTCCCTTCCACTTGCCAGCAATACCTCCACCCAACATCTAAAGGAGGTTTTAAGTCTGATCCCAGACATTACTCATATATATTTATTTCTCTTGAACTATTATTAAACTAGGTCATATTAAAATCTAAATAAATACTATATATTATTTATATCGAGTTAATAAGAGACAATTTGTAGACAAAAGGTAAAACTAAAAAAATAATAATATTCATATCCTCACCAACAGTGAATCCATAATAATATAATTAGCATATCTACTTACAGTAAGCCGTATGCTAAATTAAATTTTTAAATAAAATGAACAATTTTAAGCACAATATTTGAAGGGATATAAGCTGGAACCTAGAGCTAAGGTTCTGAATAGAGTTTTGAAAAACGTTAAAAAATTTCATCTTAGTTTGAATAGGAGATTATCTTAAAAAATTATCAAAAGTAATAGCAATATATAACAGTATAATATAGTGTATAAAATATCTCATGAGGCATTATGGATGTTTGTATTTTAAAATAATAAGTTAATCTATATTACAATGCGACAGACACTTTTGTGTATATATTATCCAACAAAACGTTTTTAATATAAATGATCTACATCAAACAAGACAAAACTAACTTTCCATTCTAAATGCAATAATAATAAATAAATAGTACTATTGAGTTATGAATACATAATAACGAGTATGAGCTCCTAATTTAATATTGGTATCATTGCAATCAGATTAACGAGCCATTGAATATTTTAATTATTTTATAAAAAGAATATGCACAAAAAAGAAAAAAAACTTATTTCAAGATTCAAATATGTGATCGTGAAAGCGTGTTGTAAAGAATCGTATATTATAAAAAGAACAATGACAGAGTAGTAAAACTCTAAATCTTTTTATTATAATTACGAATAAATATTAGAGTAGCGAACATACAATGGGCCTGACATTTCCGTAATCCATAAATGTGGTGGTAATAAATGTTTTTTGGATACGAAAAGAATAAATATAAATTATCTACTCATTTGTTTGTAAGGGTTAAATCATGAGGTATTTAACTATTAAATTGCAGTATCAATATCAGTCAGATATTTTTTTTTAATCTTCCTGATTAGTTACATTATTCAATGAGCTAAAAGTTTCTTTCTTTTTTAATTACTGTTATTTATATGATCTTAATTAATACCATAAAGTCATCAGGACATTTTATATAAATTTTGTTCGCTACTTATTAGATTTAATTACGCCGGTTTACACTGAAGCCTAAGTTGAGTATTGTAAATTAACTGTTTTGATTTTGTATGACTGATTTAAATTTTCTTTAATGCAAATGTATAATCAATGGACATTTATCTAAATTAAAAAAAGGAAGAAAAAAAGTTATTATCCGTAAAGATAAAAAGTAAAAGAAAATAGAATGTTATAAATTATGTATAATGAATTTATTTCAAAATAAAAAACTAAATCAGAAAGAACGTATTCAAATAAATTATACATTTTAATTTTCTTAAAATTCATATTAAGAGTACATAGTTGATTTATTAAAAATAATCTAGAAAACAAATTGATATTTATACATTCCCATTATAAGATATATATTGTAAAAATATATTATGTATTTAATAATTATTTAACATCTTACTGCTTACTAATTTTAATGATTCCACATTATTTAGGGATTAAAATAACTAGTTTTAAATCAATTGATTTTTTATCTTTACTTATTATTAATTATTTTTAATTTTTAATTTCTCTTTATCAATGATTTTTGGGAAATGAGGAAAAATTTCAATGGCTGATTTACTTTAAAGGAAATGTCGACTAAATATTTAGACACATTTCATTGACAGACTGAAGCTTTGTCAAGAAATTGTATATTATTTGTGAAAACTTAATAAAAATTTAAGTTAAATCTTTCGAATATCACTATAACCTTATCAATCTAAATTTAAACTAATTTGAAAACATAAACATATTAATTTTCTATCTGAATTGCTAAACATAGTTAGATAAAAAAAATGAATTATTTTTACAATACTCTATACTCTAAAATATTAAAAATTAAGAATTTTCAATGTCACAATAAAACAGTTAATAACAAAATAATTTCCATTTGATATCTTTATTTGAAATGTAATAAAGACAATATATTTTTAATGTGTACACAAGTTTTATTAAGCACGTCTAAATCCATGTGGTGTGGGTGGAGTGATTTGAAGTCCTGGAATATTAGTAAATTCCAACATCTTTAACATTTCTTTTGTTTCTTGATCAACTTCTATAATATCATGCTCTAAAGCAGAAACCTCAGGCACATAATTATCCCTTCGTTCTCGTTCTTCTTCTTGTAATTTTATAGAGATTCCACGTACTTGACTATGGCGAAGTCTCTTCATAAGAAGAGTAACAAATCTGAAGTATGATTTATTACATTTTTAATATATATCTCTAAAGTAATATTTCAATTTAATATAGTTCAATAACATTTATTTATATAAACAGGTGTAAATTCTAACTAAAATAGATGTAATTAACTTATAAACTTATATATCATTTAGTAACAATTTAAAATACACAATTTTTAATTTTTGAAAATCTTAAAATTCTAGATAAAACACAAAAACTAAACTTTTATTTTCTAACATTATTGTATCTACAACAAAAACAAAATAACTTTTATTATATATAACACTAAATAACTATTCTATAAAATATCTTTTCATGTAACTTTTTTGATTACTAAATTAAAATGATAAATAATCATTATTTTGAATATAAATTTAATGATATAAAGGTAGATGATATGTACACAAATGATATAAAGTACTTTTACCATGCATTTGACAAATACAAATTTTTTAATCTACAAGGCAGTAATTATATGTTATTGTATAACATGTTTCATTATAATTAATAAGTTACATCATATCTTTATTCACGAATATCAGTTAATGTATATAAATTAAAAAATCTTAAGTATCTTTATTCATCATATATATACAACATGTATTATTATAAAAATTATATTTTGAATATTATTTATATTTACAATGAACAAATGTTTTAACCTTAATTTTGATTAAATACTTGTATTTAAATTATACTATATAATTAATTTTATTATTTTAGAATTAAGAAAATTTTTTATTTACTATAATCTGCAAATTATTATAAAATAGTTTTAAACATAAAAGTAATATATTTGAAATTATAACATTTAATTACCGACATATTTTTTATAATCATATATTTAATATGTAGTAACGATAAAACATTTAAAAATAAATTTTTTTCGTAATCACTTTTTAAATATTATATCAATTTAATATAAAACTTGTTATAATGTTAAATATTCTTCAACAATACTTGTAATTAATGAACAAACATGCAATAATGAAAATACAAAAAATTAAAACTATAAAATACACATACGATTAAAACGACAATGAAAAACTTTTTTTCAATTTAACAATATTAAAAATTTTTAATTTTATATAATATATAAAATATAGCATTAATTTATACATACCCAGCAATTTTATTTTTCAATGGCTTGCTTGGAATTATAGCTATTTCTTCGCATAACCTCTTATTTGTATGAAAATCAAGAGTTAATCTCATATAATATTTTTCAATAATAAGTCGTGCAGCTTTCTTAACAGTCTTCGTTCTAACGCGACCCTACAAAAATATATATAACATTAATTATACGAAATTCTCATAACTTTATTATAAAAGTAATACGTAATAAAAATATCAAGGTTAATTCTCATTTATCATTAAAAAAAGTCATTAATAATAAATGAATCTTATAAACAAATATATTACTTATGATTTTAATTTCTATTACGAAATAATGAAAGAAAGATTATATCAATTTTATTGGATTACAATAAACATATCATGAATCTGAACATACCATTTTTATTGTACACTAGAATAGAACAAAAAAAGTTAACTTAAAGTTTGGCTATCGGAGGGTAAAGATCAGGGAATACAGACAGCCATGGAAGTGTAATATAAATATAGATTCCGCATATGTTCAGTTGATTGGTTATAATTTATACACTCATTTTAAATTTTTATGGAAAGAAAATAAATTCTATACGAATAACAAAAATTAACTAAATGAACTTATAAAAAAAACATAAAATCAAAACGGTTATAATAATTCTTAATACTTGCATATTGATTATTGTTATTAATTTAAATATAAATATTTTCATTAATTCAATTTTGTTATTATATAACATCTATGAGTCAAAAAACATATTATTCAAATATTCATTGCAAATTTTTAAAAAATGTATTATAATTATTTAATTTTTAAAAAATTTTATTATAATTTTGTATTCTATAATTAACTATATGATAATTTAACATATCTTAAAATACAAACTCTTATAGCCCAATATAATTAATATAATTATATTTAGTATATAATAATTAGATTATATAATAATTATACAATAATTAGCCCATAATAATTAATGATCATTCATATATATAGTAGGGATTTTTATAAGAATAAACAAAAAAAAATAAATAAGTGTCAAAATAAAGTCGACATTAATATACAATTTTAAAAAGGAAACTCTTTATTTTTTATTCAACGAATATATATAAATTAATTAGTTGAGCTATTAAAAACAATACATGTAAAAAATATTTGGTCAAAATATTATTAAATATATAATTTTTTGTTTATTTTAACAATATTCCATTATGTCACATTAAGTGAATATATTGAATTTGTAAGCATTTATTTCATTGTCTATACAAATAGTTATAAAATCTATTCTTTTCTCCCTCTTTCTGTCCTAATAATATGAATTTAAATAAGAATGGAAAATGATATATTACAGTTTATTTAATGTTATTTTAAAGTACCTTATCAGTCTTATTCTAAATATTATATACAATAAAATTAAAAATAACAAAAATACTTTATTCAGTGTAAATTCATATAAAAATAAATGATTATTTTATTATAAATTTTTTTAAAAAATTCAATAATTGCATAAACTATATTCAATGTATCATAAAGGTTTTTATTTTATTAAGAATGTTGACTACCAAGTGGACTCAACCATAATCACAAGACCAATCCACATTCTACCAGCTCTGCCAGTTCCCATCGAAGACACGAATTTTAATCATCAATGACTTGATGATGGCGGGCAGAATGTTACGGATTACAGCAATTTTACGCGGTAAACGAAGTGGGAGAGGTAAAAACACCTGTGTTTAGTTAGAAACATTTACGCGCCGAGTCATAAACACAATTCTGCGAAATCAGAAAACCTCACTACGCAAAATATTCGAATATTACATTACAATTCCGACTAACAAGGGCCGACGAACTCTCCAAGGCTAGACTCTTGTGTCGTCACTCTAACAATCAGCATGATAAGAGTGATCCAGTAATCACTGGAATCGCAAGCCTGTACTAGGATATTTAAGGAGACGCGCTTGACACCCTCGCCCTCTTACCAGTTCAATCAAGCACTCATCAAGATCGGATCGCCATTGTACAGATCGACTCCAGCTCAACGGAAGCCAAACTCACTCGGCCTACCAACGCTGCAGAGATCGTCTCCAGCTCAACGGAAGCCAAGCTCACTCCGCCTACCAACGCTGCTACAGAGATCGATTCCAATACGTACGTAACGCTATTACACGTGTCCATACGTACTATCAATGCCACTGAGATCGACCTCAACACACGTATCAATATTCAACATTATCAATATTCTATCAGTATTTCAAATAATATTTAGACACCTTTTTAATTTTTAAATAATTTTCATTACGGATTCTACATCGGTCTATCCACATTTGTCACTTAAGGCATTACTAGCAGTTTACATGTAAGCATCTCAATCTTATAAACTGATTATTCTAATGAAAAAATGTTTTTATATGTTTAGTTACTTTTAATGCATAGATTGCTATTGTAAATCATAGTTCTTTATATATTCAAAATTAATATCCTATGACTTTTTGGCTTTACTTGAAGTAATGAAAAAGACCTAATCAACATTTTATTATTAAAATTTGATTGTTTTAATAATGAAATTTAAAAAGTTGAATTAAAACACTTATATAATAAACATTTTTTATTTTATGAGTTCCTTAATGTTATTTTTCTGTTATAATTTTTTATTTATTCAGCAGATATAATATCGATGTATACTATTACTAACAGATTTTCAGGTATAGACCAAGATTATTTATGTTACTTTCCTAATCTGTATCCATCTATTTCAATTATTAAAAATTATTTATGAAATTTATAGATTATCTACATTATATTTAAAAAAAAAATGCATTTTTGTTTTTATTTATAAAATAATAATTTTATAATCTTCTAAAATAATAATCTTATTAAATCAATGAAAAGTTTTACTGTAGATATTCAAAATAGTAAACTTAACTTATATAAGTGTTTTATTGAACTTCTTAACATGGATTGTGTCAATTTTATAATTCAGTTTCGTAAGATATATAAAATGAATATCATCAAAATAAAATGAAATAACGTTTTTAATTTTTCGATTCTCAAAAAAGTATAATTATTATATAAATTCAATTTCTTTAGAATTATTTTCACAATTAATTTAAAATTACGAACGTAACTGTATTATGAAATGGACTCTTAACCATGTAATTGTCGTATATTTAAAAAATATTAAAAATTGAAACTGCTTAAAACGACACTGATGGCAGTACTAGTTCGGTTATTTTAAGAAATACACAAAGTTTATAAGTTAGGTTTTAATTCTAATATTAATAATTGAAGGTTCATGTGTAAAGTACAATGTCATTTTATTCACTCAAAATTTTATGTTTGTAATATATGTTTTAGATTTTCAAACAACAATTATATAATTATACAAAATTAAAATGTAACTGCCAAAGAATTTTTAACTTTTACAAGTGGTAGAAACTTATTTAACCGTGCCTATTTGTGTAATACATTATGCAAAAGAAATGAAATTACCAATGTACAAATAATAAAGCAATTCGTCATAATATTGATAATTAAAAATTGTTTGACTAGATTAAGTTTTTACATAAAGTATCTTAAACATTTTAAACTAATAGCATACAAATATGTAAAAAAAAATATATTTTACATTCAAAGGTAAATATGTGGAAAAGAATTCTATTGGCAGGTAAAAAATAAATTAATAGAAAATCCAAAACGTGCTGTATAAAAATATAATTTCTTTCTACTAATAATCATTAAAAAAATTAATTCAATATTGTTCTATACATTAAATCAATTCATTCACATTTGTTAATTATTAAATAATTTGTCCTATTTCATTTCTTTTTTGTGTTTTACACTTTTTACTTTTTAAATAAATTGTGTTATTGTAATTTATTATTGCGTTTTTATATACTTATTAAAATCAAAATATATGTAAAATATTTTTTATATAATATATTACTTGTACAAGAAATATATAAATTAAAACATCAAGAAAAGAAAACAAATTTATTTTCGTACCTTTTTACAAAAAATATATTACCTATATTATGTGTATATTAAAGTAAAATATATTTTTGAATTGTTAAAAGTATGTTTGATTAAATTTCTTAAAGACATTTTTTTTTATATATTTAATGCGGTTTCAGTGTGAATTAAATTTTAAGTTTTAAGTTGTACATAATGATTGATTAATTTTTCACAAAAAAATGATATTGTAACAATTATTATTCATATTATTTATAAAAAGAATTGTATTTTTTTATGTAATAAATATAGAATACAAATAATTTTTATCTTATTTATATAAGACTATTTATAATGTTATCATTTATAAATATAATTATATTTTATATGAAATTAATTGTGTTATAAAAGTATTTTTGTTAGCAACTAATATAAAATTCTAATATTAATTTTTGATATATTTTTTATTTTATTAAAAATAATTTTCAAAAATAAAATGATTTAGTACTATTTATAACATATTAAATCTTTATAAATAGATTTGAGATTAATTAAAAGAAATAAATAGAAATCATTAAATATTAATTTTTAAAAATATCTGATAAAAAATTATTAAACAATATATCTAAAGTAACCAGTTTTAAACATAAATTTGTTAATTGAATCACAAATCGAAATAGAATTGCAATTTTTATGGGCATGAATTAAACCACATACTTTAAAATATACTATATATAAAAATAATTATTAGATTATATATAAATTTAATTATTAAATTACATTACGAAAAATTAATCTTAAATTAGCGTATTTAATCAATTTTATTTTAATAATACAAGGAGCACGCTCATTTATAAGATTTGCTATTAACGATGTTGTATATAAAAATATGTTATTTATTTGTCAATTAGAAATGAAATTTATAATACATATTTACTCATTTTCTTATGAATGTGAATTACATCTTAGTGGAAATATTAATTAAAATAAATAAATAGAAATCATTAAATATTAATTTTTAAAAATAGAAAATATAAAGTTAAAATAAATTTTTTTTATATAGAACAAACAATTATGTTTATTATACAAGAAATAATACATAAATCAAATATTATCACTAAATAATACCTGAAATATACCTTTTCTTTTTATTTTTCATATTTTAATTTTAATTTACTAGAAAACTATTAAAATTTGAAATAATGTGCTTTCTAAATTTTTATTTTTAAAAATGTTAAATTATTAAAATAGTTCGTCAGCTGTAACTTGATTTTTATAATATAAATTTTTTTCTGAAATGCTAGTATGATATAATACAGCTTATAATGTTATTAAATTTACACTTTAATAGTTATACTATAAAAATTGTTTATTTTTTTAGCAAAATTATAAGAGAAAGGTTAAATTTTTAATTACATCTTTTAAATTCGAAACATTTATCGGCCTTTATAATAATTTTTTGTTGAAAAACGCGTATTTTAAATTAATGGAGCTTGTAAATATATATGGCTCAATTATAGTTATTGTACACCAACGCT